ATATTTACAAATAACCTGGGCAGTCCACATTTAGCCTTCCCTGCTAGTTCATTGCTCCCATCTAGTGTCATTGGTGAGATCAATCCAGGAACAGTTATGAGTAAAGAAACCCTCTTCTTCACCAGCATTGAGTTCCTTTTTTCAGTTTTTTTTTTTAAGTCTTCCTTATATTGGATAGAAATCTGCCTCCTGTAATTTCTACTTTTGATCCTTAATTCTGTATCTAACACTACATAAACCAGACCAAGCCCACACTCTCTTTCACACAACCTTCATTTGAACAAAAGTTGGTTGAGTTACATAATGCAAACTCAAAGGGAAATTTATCTCAAATAATTACATGACACTATGCGGAAAGTTCAGGGGCTGTGTAACCATCTCATGGTTTTGAACTGTGTGGTTAAAGACATCGAGAGTTGACAGATTAGTCAGGGATTTGTCAAGAGTATTAATTATGAACTTTGAAATGCTGGTCAGTGAAAGTTCATCTTAGCGCATCTTGCAAATATGATCAAAGTCTTTTCAGTACTGATTTGATGATGCTTAACCACAATGTGTGAAGAATGAAGCTTTTCATTAGAAATTACTGATGTAATAGAGTACATTTTCAAGGAAGGCATAGCATTGGACTATTATAATTCATACTCTTCCCTCAGCCTACTACCATCCCTTCCCCACCCCTATTGTCCCTGAACACCTAAAATGGCATTTTGAATGCTGGAGAAGGAAACTGTGGTCTTAACAACAGAGCAGCTCAGAGATGACCACCACATGAGGGCAAAGATGGGGCTGTTGAAAGTGATGTTTTTAAAACCATAAAAACCTGATTAGGGAGTGGGGTTACTGTGATTCACTGTGTGAAAGAAATTTACAACTTGCTGAAAACTTAAAAAATGTAGGAGTACAGTATGTAGTTGGTTAAGGGGAAAGAAAAGCAGTCCTCTGCCCTTGTTCAGTTGTAGAAAAACAATCTACTGTTTTGATAGCTTTCTTTTCTCTGGAAATAAAAATAATGCCCTGTCGCCTAAACCATGGAAAATGAAATTAAAATGTACCCAGTGCAGCTTCTCCAAATCACTGAGCTGCAACTTCCCCTCCCTTCTACCAGGTCGTCGATGTTGTGTGCATGGTCAGTGTGCAAGGTGCCAATGCCTGCACAGCCTTAGTCTGGAGTCCCACTCTGCAGTCTCAGAATCGCTGTGGCCCACGAGAGGCCTGAAGGCACTAGTCTGGGAAGGCCCAAGCAGGTCTCCTTACTGGTTCACCTGTTCTGAGGTTCTTCCTGTTCAGTTGCCTCCGAGCGCCAGAGGGTGGCACCCCAGGCACTCTAGAGGTGGAGAGGAAGGAGGGGAGGAGAAGGCCGGGAGGGGAAATGGGGAGGAGGGGAAGAGAACATTAATTTCTAAGACTTTGGTCTCCAGTTTCCTCGTTAGTTTGGGGGCAGAACCTCCACCCCCACCCCTTTACGTAAAATGCCTAGGCTTCTGGCCACCTAGGGGTCAGAGTTACAAATTTGTAAAATGAAAAAGGCTTCAGAGGGTTATTCAAAATCAATTGTTTCTTGCCTCCTGGGTCTCACGGAGTTCGAAGTTCCCGCGCTGCTGAGAGCGCGGGTGTTTGGGGGTAGGCCCAAAGCCTCTGGCACTAGATCTTTGTGAGTGTGCCAATAGCTGACTTGTCCCTTTGTGTGTTTTGCAGTTATTGGATTTGTGCGACTCAGTGAAGATTGATTCCCTGAGGGTGATCTCCGCTTTTAACATTCCACACACCAACCTCCACGCACCAATCGCAGGAATCCCCAACCCAGGGGCAGCCTGGGCGTTCTACTCCGCGCCCCTGCAGCCGCAGGCCGGGGAAGAGACGCGCTCCCAGCGGTCAAAGCTGCGAGCCAAGCTCTAATCCGCGAGGCGAGAAGTGTAGCGGCCGGTCTGCAGCTTCGGTAAAGCTCGCTCCCCTAGCTCGAGGAGCTGCGGCACAGGCCAGGCTGGCTCATGCGGGGCCACAGCCAGAGGAGCGTGGGGGTGCGGGGGATTTTGGTCACTGAGCCGAGATCTGGCCGAAGCACGGTTGGGAAAGGAAGCCTGGGGAACTGGAGCCTTATTTTTTCCCAGTAACGTCGCCTGAGTTCAACTTCTTCCATCATGGGCACCTCAACCTCCTACAGTCAGGGTGTTTCCTCCCCGACTGCTCCCTCCCCTCCAGCGCGCCCCACCGCCCCGAGCGGCCAAAGATCTCCTGAGGTCAGCGGTGACTCAAGATTCACAGTAATTTAGAAAAGCTATGTTACTGGGTGAGAAAAAAAAAACATAAAAATCAGACACCCCCTAGGCAAAAGAAGAGGGGGAAGGTTCTCTACACCCCCAAACGCGGGTATAAATTCAGTTCATCAAGTGATGCTTTTCCAGTGAATCAGTCCCCTCTTGGGCTCTGTGAGGAAACGCACCGGAAAGGACAGGGGACTATGACCCTAGAGTTGTGCTCTCAGCGAAGCAAGAACTCGAGCAGCTCATCTCAGGTAGGCGGGTTCCGGACCCTCGAAGCAACGGAAACATTTTCACCGCGCGAAACTGTAATCTGTCCTTGAGAAGAGCATAGCCATCCAGTTTAATAAAGAAATTAAGTGACGGGAAGGCGCTCCCGCTGCTTGGAGAGGTCGGGAAGGCGGGCCTGGGGAATACGCTACAATATATTGGTTTCGGAATTCGGAAACACTACACAGACGGCGCCTGTGGTCCATGGATTTCCCATTTTTCAAAGTTCCGTTCCCGAAATCATTCTTCTCTCAGTCCAAACCATCTCTGTCTTCCCTCCCTCCACGTCCCATGCCAGTGGTAGGAAGGGACACTGCCCTGCCGGCGTCTGCGAGAGCGATGTCCAGGACTGGTGATCCAATGCCCACCGGCCTTTCACACGCTGACCTCTGAGATCTAACCCAGTCCCAAGAGTCCTCGCAACCCAGAAGGTTGCAACGGCTCGGGGCCACAAGACATGGGGCGCCTGGTCCATACTCCCCGGTTCGTGCGAGACACATGAACCGCCGCCTCCGGGCCGGCTTCCTTGTTGAGCCCTAAATAGAAGCACACAGCCAGTTGTTTCCCCCGACGCTTTTGTGTTTTAAAGTGTTAACCCGGTTGCAAGAACCGGGCGACACAGGGGTGGCGGAGCTACACAGGAACAGACAAGCAAAGCGATTTTCTTCTTCGTGGTCCTTTTTTCCGGTCAGGGTCTGGTTGCCCCACGCCTCGGACAGCTCAAAGGAGGTCTGCCTCTGGCAGGTTTGGGGCTCTTGGCCGGAACTGCAGGTTGCGTTGCTTCCCCCTGGGTGGGACGTCGAGTGGCCAGGCGCAGACGGCCGCTCCCGACAGCCACGGGTAGGAGTTCCCAGCCGCGGCCAGGGTGGACCTCGGTCTCCGGGTCCACTTCGCCGCGTCCATACCCATGCCCTTTCCCTCTTCTAGAGAAATCCCCGGGCAGGGCTGGGCGCAGTTCCTTTCCTTCAGCCTCTCTTGGAACCTATGGCCTCCTTCACATCTCTGAGAACTCACTGGAGAAGGAGACTTTAATCTGGGGCTGTGCTGTGTCACGCTAACATTAAATCTGCTTATAAATACATAATATCCAGCGGCCCGACGGCTGGACGAGGCCTCCTCACTTGTCCCTCTCCCCAAGGCTCTCTTCCCTTTCCGGCCGGGATGTAGGTTAGGACAGCCCCTAAATTGAGTTTCCTTAATCTCCGTGTAGCAGGACGCAGGACGTTCAATTTCCTAACCAACCTCCCACTCCCCCGCCGCGGTCGTGTGGCAGCCCTGCGGGGTAACCGAGGCGCGCAGAGCGGGTGGGAGGGTGGTACAGGGATGGGGTCTCTGGGCATTAGTTGGATGGCTGAGCAGACTGGGGTGCGGAATCACAGGAGCAGCGGAGGGGACAGAGAGTCCTACAGAGTCCTACAGAGTCCTCCTGGGAGGGAGAAGACCCAGAACAGCGGACTTTAGAAAGAGGTTGGAGACGCAAAGCGAGGAGGTTGCAGGGGTATTGCAACCGTACAGGATTCTCCAGCACGGCCTGAACACTGTCGCTCCGCCTGCGCCCTCTTCAGCCGCGGAGGGACGGTTCCCGGCGGTTCTATGTGAGCTCAACAAATCTCGAGGTTCCCAATCCGGCGCACTTCAGTTTTCTGTCTCACCTGGAGCCCGAGACTCTCCTCGGTGCTTTGTTTCCCCCCTTAAAATTACTTCTTTTGGGTTCTTTTTTCATTTCCCTATTTTATCTGCTCTGTCACTTGCATCGCGCCCCGCACCTGGGCTGCGTAGGAGATGGCTTCTGGGACCGCTTCTTGTCCTTTTAACTCACTATCCTTCCCACCACGGGCTCGGCCTCTTACGGAGATTGGACGCCCGAAAAAAAGCTGGGAAGCGCCTGCGGGATGACTGATAGGAAGTGGCATTTGAGTTCCGTGTGAGGCGCGGGCGAAGAAGATGAGCATCTTGCTGATCGGGTCCCGCCCGACGCGCGGGACTCTCGGCGAGGAGAGTGCAAAGACCCCGAGCCCAACCTCGCACCCGCGCGTTTTCGAGGACCAAACCGCTTCCCATCGTTTAGGGCTGAGAAACTCGGCACAGCAAAGGCACAGGGGCACCTCAGCAGGCTTTCCACTAACGACTAAGGCCAGGCTGGGCACCGAGAGAGGAGGGAGCGCCCCCTCAGTTCCGCTCGCCGCTGCCGCTGCCAGCCGGGGGGGGAGGCGAGCGCACACTGTGGGGTGGGGGATGGGGCGCACAACAGTCTCTTGCAAGCCAAGTCACTCTGGTAAACACTGCCGGCTGGGCGGCGCGCGCGGCAGGGAACGCGGCGGGACCACCCCCGTTTTTACCTGTCCCAGCCCGCAAACTCGCGGGGGGGGGCAGGGGTGATGTGAAGGGCGGAGATTGCCCGCCTGCCCCGGGGCGGGACCTGGTGGGGGCGTGGCCCTCGCTGATTGGACGCGGGCGCTGGGCCCCCAGTCTGAGCCGGGCTGCAGGGCCGCGCAGGTTTCACTTCGCTCCGCGCAGCCGCTGGGTCGTGAGCTTGTTGGAGTGCTGCGTCCCTTCTAGCAGCCGCTGCGCCGCCGGATTCTTGCAGCCGCTCTGCGAGCCTTGCCCTACTGCGGTCAGCACCGCCTCGGGCCGCTCGGTTCGCCCCGCCCCCGTCCCCACCGCCTCGGCGTCTTTCCCCCTGGCTCTCGTCCCCCCAATGTCTGACTCTGACTCTGGGACTGAGAAACGCAAGGTAAATACCTCGGAATCCCAGGGAATGGGCCTGGGACAGACGGAAGACAGGCGCCGGAGTTCGAGCGGCTCCATCTGCTGTCTGCTGCCCTGGCACGTGCAGGCAGAGGCGCTCGCATTCGTCCCACTTCTCGCAGCGCGGGAGTCGACTTATAGGTGCGGGTCGGGTTCCCTCCGGTGCAGGTCCACTCTGAGGAAGGGTCCTGGGCATGGAAGCTGCGGACATTTGGCCGAAGTACGGCCTCGGTCCGTATGCAGCACGCGGAGGGTGGCGTGGGGTGGGCTGGGGGAACGCGTCGCATTCCTGGCTGGGAGAGCGCGTGCTCCCGGCTGGGGTACCGCGCTGTGCGCCCCGCGGGGAAGTCTCGCCGCCAGTCCTCGAGAAGTAGCCATGCAGTACCAGCGGGTCTGGCGGCTTGGCCCTTAAGCGCGCGTGCCCGCGGCGGAGGGCTTGCGGAACTGCGGTGGTGATTTGAGGACACTGGGCTTTTCCTTTAACTCACTCAAGCCAAGGTTTGGGGACAAGTGTTGATTTTGCCCTCTAGAACATTCCTGGAGGCCCTGCTCTGTCTGCGTGCCTCTTGCCGGCAGTGCCAGCCGCAGACAGACCAAGGGCTTCCCCAGACCACTAAGGCCACGCAGGGGACGAGCCCCGGCCAGCAGAACTTGCTCGCGCAGGACCGAGCTGACCTAGCGGCTCCAGCATGCTGGAGTGCACCGAGACCCATTCGTCGTGCAGACCGCCTGCTCCGTGCCCCCCGGGGGGGCTGTTATCCCGGCTTTGACGCTAATGATCCAGGCCTCGTGTAGGACGCTGGGGGTGGGGATGGGGATGTGTGTGCTCGTGGCCCGGGGTTGGTCACCCAGGTTGGGCGCGTGTCCGCGGCTTGGGAGGACAGGCAGTGAAGTTGCTAGAGGTGGGTAGGTGCTGCAGCTGGGACTAGGGCTGCCGTTCGGGTCTTCCCTCCGACCGGGCCGAACGAGTGTGAGGACAATCCTGCCGGTCCCGGGACAGCGTGGGTCTCGCTTTGTTTCCAGATGACCGGCTGGCCCGGGCGGCGGGAACTCCGGAGGCGCGCGCGGTGTCTTGACCGGGCACAGGGGCGGGGCGGATAGTCGGAGCAGTCCAGTCCCCCGAAGCCTCTGCCGAGGCTGCCGCCGCCACAGCCGGAGCTGAGCTGGGAGGCGAGTTTGTCAACAATCGCCTCGGCTTTGGAGGCCTGACCCGTAGGCGCCGCCCCCGCCATCGCTGCCCATTGGCTGCGGCGCCGAGCGACCGCGCGCGGGCCAATTGGGAACGCGGGCACCCGGCGCCAGTGGCGCGGGGCGGCCGGCGGTGCCGGCAGCGGCGGGCGCAGTGCGCGAGGGGAGGAGCGGGAGGAGGCGGAGGATGTTCCCGGCGGCGGCGGCGGCCGGCGCAGCGCGGGCCAGAGGCGCGGCGCGCGAGGCCCTCGGCTGCCGGGCGGAGCGTGGCGGCGGGCTGGCGGGAAGGCGTGTGCTCTGTGCTACCCGGGGGGCTCTCAACCCCGCTGCCGGGCTTTGTCTTCCAAGCTGTCTCCGTGGTGACGGTCAGGGGGCGCCAGGTCGGCGCAGGTCGCGGGTCGGACGCCGCGGGGCCCGGGCCCGGACGCTACGCTCGGAAGGGAAGGGGCGGACGTGAGTTCGGTGTGATTGCCTTCGCGGGAGCAGGGGAGGTCTTTAACGTGAGGGAGCCGCGCGCCCGGTGTGGCCGAGCGTGCGGAGCTGGCGTTGGTTTTTGCAGGGGACGACTCCGGGGATCCCCCATTTGGGGGAGTGCACCTAACAGTACGTGTGCACCTCGGAGAAGTTCTGTCCGGTTCGGTGTGGCGTGCAGGCAGGGAGCGGGAGGGACTACAGACGGAGAGCGCCGGAGCCGGGCGGAGCTGGGCTCTGAGTTACAAACTCTATTGTGACGCACTTACTACGACTGACGGCCGCTGCCAAACCTTCTCCAGACTTGCTGCCCTCAGCATTTTCGGCAAACAATGGGGCCGGAGCGGGGAAGGCGGCCAGCCGCCTGCAATCGCTGCATCGGCTCCCGCTCCTGGGCTCCTGTGCCCGTTCTGATCCCGGAAAATCGGAGCCCGCTGGGAGTTTCTGACTGGTTTCGAGTCTGTCCTGAGCAAAAAGCACATGAGAAAAGGCTTCAGACAAGCAGTTCTCTTGAAAGTTGTGTGTACTTGTGTGTGAGAGCACCAGGTCCATGTTGTTACTGTTTTGTTTGGTGATCCGAAGTTTAGTTCTAACCTCTCCCCACCAAAAATAATTGTTATTTTATTGGTGCATTTTTACTTTTATTTGGGAGGTTGGCAGAGAAGTAAAGTATTCTTAGTGAATACTTTTAAGACTGCTTAGGAGGTGAAGAAAGGGGGTTTATTTGTTGTAGCTATTATTTGGCTGAAGGCAATCTTAGTTTTTCTGTTTCTTTTACTTCCAGAAAAAAAGACCAAATGGCAAAGCAACCTTCCGATGCAAGTTCTGAGTGTGACAGAGAAGGTGGACAATTGCAGCCTGCTGAGAGGCCTCCCCAGCTCAGGCCTGGGGCTCCTACCTCCCTACAGACAGAGCCGCCAGGTAATCCTGAAGGCAGTCCCGCAGGCGAAGGGGATCGCTGTCCCCACGGCAGCCCTCAGGGCCCGCTGGCCCCACCGGCCAGCCCTGGCCCTTTTGCTACCAGATCCCCGCTTTTCATCTTTGTGAGAAGATCTTCCCTGCTGTCTCGATCCTCCAGTGGGTATTTCTCTTTTGACACAGACAGGAGCCCGGCACCCATGAGTTGTGACAAATCAACACAAACCCCAAGTCCTCCTTGCCAGGCCTTCAACCATTATCTCAGTGCAATGGGTAAGCAATACCCGGGTAAGAGGCAGTTGGCATGTGGTTGTTTGAGTAGTATGTCTCAAGGCTGTGTGCATTTAAAACCTTCTTTTAGACTCCTTCAAGTGAATCATTGTGTATTTTGATGGGAATGGAAGATGTGCCAATAAAATAATCTGACCAACACTTTTTAAGAATGTTACGAAGTTTGTGGCATCAGTTTTTTGAGGTTCAGCCATAAGCCTTTGTGGCTGTAAAGCTTGAGTCTTTACAGCCTTCATCAAGCTAAATTGTGTAACTGGCATATTGTAACTGTTACATATTAAGGACATTGTGCTTGACAGGGATCTGATCACTTACAGAAAAGTTTAATAACGGTGTGTACAGAAAGAAATGGGACAAGTTAAATCATTTGCAGAAATGAAGTGGTTCATATAAGCAGTACCAACATAGAGTCATGAAAATGGTTTGTCCTATACCCAAATTCCCCTTTGGGCTTATTGCTCAGAGGGTTTGACCATAGTATGAATGAGATTAGAGTATAGGTTTTTATTTTAAGGATTAAAGGCAGTGTTAGGGTCTGAACTAGGAGTGGTAGAGTGTCCTGCAGTAATATTATTGAGGGGCCTGACCTCTCCACCCCATGGGGACAGTGACATTTGCCCCTGATTGTGGCTATGGGGGCATGTGGTCTCAGAGTGGCAGTTAGTCCCATATTGCCAAATAATCCAGGAATGCAGATTTCTAGGCCAAGTATAACATTTAAGCTTTGACAACTACTTACATCCTTTAAACATTAAACATTTCAGTCTATAAGCTAGACTGACAGATCTGAAAGCTTGATTTGACTCTTGAGGCTCTAGCTTGTGACTGAGTGTACATTTCTGATAATCCTGGTGAAGGGATGGATCTGTGCTGGTTTCATTGTGCTGGTTCTTCACTAATGGAAAAGATTAGTGTCTTGATAACTATTCACCAAAGTTACCTTTGGCATTTGTCTAGAGTAGGCTCTCTCTCCCTGCATAAACAAAGACATAAGGGCATTGGTTGTCTTGTCAATTAGGAAATCCAGTGTAAATTTTAAGATGTAGATTATACTTACCATGCTGAAGTCTAACTAAAACAAAGTAATCAGCCTAAACACTTAAATTCTGAGCACAATGACAAATCTTTTGTTTGCAAATACAGTACTACAGTTCTGTCTTTACCACCTTCAGTGAAGTAAACTGGACAGGTTTGTCCCCATATTAAAGAGATAGGAAGAACCTCAGAGGGTGTGTTTTGTCAGAGGTTGGGCACACCGAACAAAAATGACAGAAATACCAGTAGTTACATATGTTGGCTGCACAACTCCTGCTAATTGCTAGAGGGGACTTTAAGGAAGCCCCCTCTTTAAGGAAAGGAAGTAGGAGGGGTTTTTTTGCTATTACTTTAGTTACTGCCTGTACTAGTGTTCCTGAACTCACTTTACCCTTAGATGTTTTTGGCACTTGTTGTTCTACCCATGAACTATTTCAGCATATATATGAACCTTTAGCATTCTTAGTGAGCTAAAAGAGCATTATGGTATGTATGTTTAAAAACCTGTGTATTTTAAGGACCCTTTGGAAGCTATTACAGTTTTGCATTGCAGGCCTATGCAGTAGTCACTGCAAGTGGTGGCTCAATACATGGAAATAGTTTTTCTTTACTTCTTGACTGGGAACAATGGATGGGTTAGTATATTTTCTAATGTAAAGACCTGTGTGAATGCTTTTTTTGGTGAGTACAATTTAGCAAGCTAATTATAATGTAAGCAGTGTTATTTGAGATGACAGACACAGAGCTTTAAAGATCACAACCTAAATTATTAAACAAAGTTATTAGTTATACCTAAAGTATTGGATCCTCAGGTGTTTGTTAGTATTAACTACACTCCAGTAGATTGATGTGACAGCTTAGAGTTGAATGCATGGGATGAAACGTTAAGTTACAGGAGTTTGTTTGAAGTTAATGTCCCATGGTAAGTTTTCAACATGAAGGTTTTGGAGATTTGTTTGGGGAGAGGATGAGTGTGAATGGGGAGAGGTGGGGAGAGGCGGGAATTACTGGTGGGAAGAGAAAGTCTGTTAAATTGAAGATTTAAATTTACAATTTTTATAATCCATAACTATTTTTCCTGGCCGTCCTGAGTCTTAGCTCAATACCTGAAGAACACTTACGCTAAGTTGATAAGTGCTCTCTTACCTTTTTGGTCTTGTTTAATATTTCCTACTCAAACATCTCCATTAAGATCTTCAGTGATGCTTTTGATAATTTATTGCAGTATGCATTTTTCACAAAGAAGTCTTTGATTGACTTGAACTACTGGAACACAAATGTGAGGTTTCAGAGAGGTTCTGCTTAGCCGGGGGCTCCTTCAGCCACGAAATAATTTTCTGCTCACAACTTCGGGTAGAGAACAGTGTGTGTTAAAGTTTTGTTTTCGTATCTTTATTCTAACAGGAAAGTAAAATCTTAACTGGGGATGCATAGTGGTTTAAGCTTTTGTACTAGCAACATTTTTATGCTTTACTACATAACTCTCACTTTTCTGAAGACATGAAAGAGTATTACATTTATTATGGATAGATACAATTTTTATACTTTTGTGCAGTTTTGGTTTCCATATGTTCTGGGAAGATTAACTTGAGAAAGGATTATTTTAATAAAAACCTCCCACAAGTGTTGGTTTATTGTTTTTATGCCATGCATATGTTCATGCAAATTATGTATTAGATCCTGTACACATTCTTGCTCTGAAATACAGTCAGTGCAACTGGAAGTAAGTGTGAAGAAAAGTCAGGATATGGATGAATGCTGGTTGCTAAGAACTCTCCCTTGTTGTTAGTAAATATCTTAAACTTTATGCTTGCCAAAGTTCACAGATGGGAGTTAATAGTGTTCTGCATACCCTCAGCATCCTCTGTGCACTCTGTTGCAGCTGGTAATTGTCGGGCCCCTCCTTTAGATTCAGAACTCCCTGTGGGAGGCAGGATGCACTGCAGACCCCACTGAGTGCCTCACAGAGAAGCAGCCCAGGAGCTCTGCCTGTTAGCTTTTCCACGGAGTTGTGTTGTGTTGTGTTTTGATTTTACTGTGCTGAGTAGGAACCCAGGGCCTTTTGCATACTAGGGAGGAACACTACCATTAAAGCTACACTCCTAGCCCTGCCTTTCAAGGGAACCAATAGTATTTCAACAAAGACCAGTAGCAAGAAAAAGACCCAACCCTTGACTCCCCCATGTATTTCTAATTATTAGGATCCACCTATTAAGTTTGTTACCATAGGTGTGACCAGTAAGATGTAGCTCAGCACTGTGCAGTAGGGAAGCCTCCTGTGTATTGAACACTTGACCCAGGACTAGTCCAAATCCAGACAAAAAGGCAGTCAGTGTCAACATGCATTGGAGTTTGAAGACTTAGTACATAAAGAAAATAAAGTATCAATTATATGGATAGCACATTGGGATAGTATTTTGAATATATGGGTTAAATAAAATAAAATTTGTATGGCAGTAAGAAACATAGCATAAAATTTAGCATCTTAACCATTTAGTTCTAAGTGTACATTTTAGTACTGTTAAGTACATTCATATTGTTGTGTAAGCTAGTCTCCAGACTTTCTCATCTTGTAAAACTGAAACTACACCCATTAAACAATTCCCTGTTTTCTCCTTCCCCCAACCTCTGGCAAATACCATTCTGCTTTCTGATTATTACTTTGACTAATTTAGGTACCTTCTTTAGGTGTAATCATACAGTATTTGTCCTTCTGTGACCTAAAGTTTCATCCATACTGTAACATGTATTCCTTTTTTTAAGACTAAATAACATCCAACATGTGTACAATAGCACATTTTGTTTAGTCAACCACCAGTGGACATTGGGGTTGCTTCTGCCTTTTGGCTATTGTAAGTAGTGCTGCTGTGAATGAACATAGGTGTACAAATACCTCCTCAGGATCCTGCTTTGAATTCTTTTGGATCTTTGCCCAGAAGTTGAGATTGCTGGATCATTTGGTAATTTGGGAGAGACTATGCAATGCATGAGCAAGTATATGTCTCTCCAAGTATTCAGGTTTTCTTCGGTTTCTTATCTTAGTGTCTTGTAATTTTCAGTATATGTAGCTTCTTATACATGTTCTCATTTTAGATTTATGCTAAACATTTCATTTTCTCAGAAACAATGGTATTGTATCTTTAATTTCAGTTTCTGCATAATCACTTTTAGTACATAGAAATGACTGCTTTTTGTGTAGTGATATTGTCTCCTGTAGCTTTGTTGAAATCATTCTAGAAGGATTATTTTGGTGCATTTTTGGGGAAAGATATCTAGGAAGACAGTCATATAATCTGCAAATAGGGACTGTCTTATTTTTTTCTTTTTACTGCATGAATTCTTATTTCTTTTTCTTGTTCTCCTGTACTGGTTAGGACTTCTAGGGCCTATGCTGAATAGGTATGGTAAGAGGAATTTTTTGGGGGGGGTACAGGGAGGGGGAGGCTTTCTTTATCATTAAATATGTTAACTGTAAGTGATTTGTATATATTCATTTTATCATTCCTAGATTGCTGAGACTTCTTATCATTAATGAAATAAATGGGTGTTAAATTTTATAAAGTGTTTATTCTGTGTCATCTGATGTGATCATGTGATTGTATTAGCCTGTTGACCTGGTATAATACATTTTTTGATTTAGAGTGTTAAGTGTACCTTGCATGTCTGGGATAAATCCTACTTGGGCAGGGTGTACTGTTCTTTACATACACTGCTGGATTGACTTTGCTAATACTTTCTCGAAAGTACACATTCAGTTTTCTTATGTTTTCTGTACCGGGGCTTGAACTCGGGGCCTCATACTTGCTAAGAAGGTACTGTACCACTTAAGCCATTCCATCAGCTCTGCACTTGAGTTTTTGTGTGGTATTCTGTTGTTTTCTTCTAAGATTGTATGGTTTTGACATGAGGGTCTTTTTTGTTTGTTTGTTTTGTTTTCTGACATGAGG